GGAGCTCTTTGTCCCTGAGCAGGATGATGACATCCCAACGGCTCAGTTCACGGATGAAAGAGTGACAACAGTGAGAAGGAAGCCCCCACACCCAGCAAGGGTGAGTCTGAGAGATGAGTGGAGAAGACTAGACGCAGGGAGATCTCTTCACTACACCTGGACCGGGACGACAACCTTCACCATTGTGGAGACACAGGATTCAGACATCGAGGAGATCGTCCAAGACATCCTTCAAGACCCTGGTGAACCAGATCCAGAGAACCAGGAAGACAAGGAGAACGAGCCACCTCAGGATGGTGAAGAGACTATTGAGCCTGAAAATGGAGGACAGAGTTCCTTTGCACCAGCAGGAGGAGGAGCCCCTGCAGATTCGAGCCATGAATCACCTGAGGCAACAGGGGAAGAAGTGAGAGAGGACAACCCTGAAGCCCTACCACCGCCTGAAGTTCCTGAAGTACCCGAACATCAGAAGAGACTGTATGATGGACCAGATCGGGAAAGCTTCAAGGCTCAGAGGACGAGGGTCGATCAACAAGAGACTCTGTCATTCTTAAGCAAGCCAAAAGCCTACGGACCCATTCGGTCCGAGACATCGAGAAGTACACCCTATGATCAGTTGATTCCAGAGGAGATGAACATGCAGATCGACATCGATGTCCAGTCAGTCACCGATCTGCCACCTGGATGGAAGGTAGAAGGAGGATGGCTTTGCTTGGATGCCCCAACCGATGAGTGGACGATTGAAGGAAACTGGCTGATCCGAAATCACTGTGTACCTCGCAAGGGAGCCTTCAGACCTACAGAGGAGACCTGTCCCATCGACCTGAACTACCTGGCCAAGGAGCGGGTGACTGCCACATCCCACGGTACCTACAAGGACCGTTGGAAACGTCACAGTACCAATCAGATGATTGAGTCCGCCTGCTGGACTGGCCAGACGAAGTTCAAGATCAAACCAAACTGGAGACAGAAGGCACAAGAGGACTACAGCCAGAAGAGCATGGGGTACAAGTCCTATCGACTTCCAGGAGATCAACCAATGACAAAGAAGAAGAAAGGAAAAGATGAAGTGTATGAGAGACACATGTCGGTGTCCGATCGACAGGCCTTTATGCAGGCCAAGATCAAGGAACTTGAGAGCTTCTTTAAGAACGAGGTCTGGCTCTATGACAAAGAAGGAAATGCCGACCCAGACAGGATCCTCAAGGCACACTTCATCCTGACCTGGAAGAAGAACGAGGACGGGACGCCTCGTGCAAAAGCGAGGTTGATCACCCAGGGATTCAAGGATCCTGATGCACTCTCCGGCAATCTCAACACAAATGCACCAACACTGACCAGACTCTCAAGAGGCATGATCTTGTCCATTTGCCAGCTCTACACTTGGAAGATGTTCACCAGTGACATCACCACAGCATTCTTGCAGGGCAAGAACTTCGATCAAAGCACGAACAGAGTGATCTGGATCAAACTGCCCAAGGATGCAAAGTCACTTTTGGGACTACAACCAGATGACTCAACGCTGATGAAACTGGTGAAGCCGATGTATGGGCTATGTGATGCCCCGAGAGCCTGGTATGAGGAGGCAAGTGAAAGGATTCTGAGGGCCGGAGGTGGTGATATCCAACGACATCCGCTGGATCCATGCCTATTTCTTGTGTACCGTCCTTTGCCAGCTGAACAAGCAATGGACCCCATGGTGGAAAGAGATCTTGCCTGCATCTTCGGAATTCATGTGGACGACCTGGTAGGTTGCGGAGACCCACACGATCAATACTTCATAGATGTGAAGAAGAAATTGCAGGAGATCTTCACCTTTAGGGAGTGGCAGGACGGCAACAAGCTTGAGTACTGCGGAAGCCAGATAGATTGCGAGAAGGATGAAGTGATCGTGCTGAAGCAGGAGGAGTACATTCACAAGGTGAAGCCAATTCCTATCACCAAGGAAAGGCTGAGAGACACCTCCCTGGCGGTTACTGAGAAAGAAAGATCCCTGCTACGAGGCCTGATCGGAGGCCTACAATGGCCAGCGACACAAAGTGCACCCCATCTGCAAGTTGGAATTTCTCAGCTAGCTGGAGAAACATCACGAGCCACGATCGAGACATTGCAGAAGGGCAACAAGCACTTACGCTATGCCAAAGAGTATGCCGACGTTGGTCTCCAGTACAGAAAACTGGGCTCAAAAGATGAAATGACCTTCATTGCCTACAGTGATGCCTCCTTCGCGACAAGGTGCGACCTGAGCAGTCAAGGAGGATACATACTGGCAATGTGTCATCGAGATGTTGCAGAAGGCAAGTGTGAAGGGCACTATAACGTTCTGGATTGGAGAAGCTGGAAGTTGCCCCGAGTGTCGAGAAGCACTTTGTCAGCAGAAAGCCAGGCAGCAAGTGAAGCAGCTGACAGCCTCATGTACATGACACTCTTCTGGAACCTCATCTTTAGAGCATTGATGCCCCTGGACAACGTCAGCACCGGCTACTTGGCAAACAGCCCAAAACTTGTCGTGGACGCCAAGGCCCTATACGACATCTTGGTGAAGGATGAGATCCAAGCTGCAACAGGAGCTGACAAGAGGACCACCATTGAAGCCTTGGTTTGCAGAGACAAGCTGGCATGTTGCAATGGTAAAGTACGCTGGGTATCATCGGAGCTCCAATATGCAGACGGCCTCACCAAAGATGCAGCTGCACCACTACTTGGTCAACGCTTGAGAACGCACATGACCAAGCTCACAAGTGATGACACTTTCCAGGCATCGAAGAAGAAGAAGAACATGGCAAGCCGTAAGAAAGGAGAGAACATGTATGCCATCAAGAAGCCAGAGCGAGCACTTTTTGCTATGTTCGCAACTCATTTCATGAGTTCCGCAAGGGCAGAATGGGAGAAAAATGAGACCTATGGCATGAAGGGGGAAAACTATGACCATGACGAGTATGACAAGATGGAATATGTCCTGATGATCCTGTTCACCATAATGATCGGCATGTTCATTTGGCTCTGCATCAAATGCAGCAATGGTTGGACTATGACCTGGACGCCAACAACGACACGAAAGGAACACGCATCCGAGACAAGGAGGACAACACGAGAGATGAGCACCCAAACGACCAGAACTGGCTTGGAGGAAGAGAGATTGATCCAACTCAGAAAAGACAAAATGGCCCTGACAGAGGAAGTAGCAAATCTCAAGAATGAATGGGCACTGGCACAGCACCAGTACCAAACTACCCGGAGGCACGAAGAGATCTTGCATCGAGAACTACAAAAGCTGAAGGATGAGCAGCAGAGGATGCTCGACCAGAAGCTGAAAGTGGCAAAGCAACAGGCATCACTGAAACCAGTGTACCTGGCAAGCATGGGAGGCTGTTGGCATGCGAGCAGAGCCTGCGTTGGACAACGCACTGCCAACCTGGTATACACCAGGCAACCATGCAAGGCATGTGCCCACACGTTCTTTGAGGAATGTACGCCACAATCCGAGATGGAAGGTGTGCACTGGGCACAAAATGTCCATGGAGACCTGACCGGCACGGCAGTGAGCTCGAATGTCAACTGGTAGACGAGATGCCAGATGCCACGAGCATGACTTTTGTTTTGGCTGAACAAACAGCCCTTTTTGCACCTGTGTGAGTTGTGTGCCACACAACATGGAATTTAACCTTGAGAACCCTGAACTCGCGCGCCGCCTCAAACACAGGGCGGGCCGCGTACGCGTCACGAGCTATGGCGATGGAAAAGGGCCGTGACTAGCGGCCATTGGTTTCAAGAACTTTGTCTAGGACTTCGTGCACCTAGCTTTGGTTTGTGGTTTGCTCCCCACGTTACCAACAATAGGGTATATAGTATCAAACAGCAGATTTGGAATTTCAGAGCTAAATCTCAAGAGCAAACCTCATGACATGTTTTTGAGATACTACTATCTAGCCCCAAATTGGGACGGCATTTGGCGGGATCCACTGGCATGGGGGGCATTGCCAAAGGCAATGCCCCTTACCTGAGGCGTGTAGCAGTTCACAGTGCAACAAGACTAAGGCCGCATTGTCCGATGCGGCGCATGCACAGAGGGCAGGTTGAGCAGTTTAATCTTCAGGAAGACCTCAGGAGCTCAGTGAGATGCATTTGCATTTAGCTGCCTCTTAAGTCTACCTACCTAGACCTTCTAGCACACTCTGGCAGGTTCTGCTTGTGTCGGCATTTGACACAAGCTCCATTGGATTCAGTGTGGTGGGGTGAAGGACTTGGGGTCATTGAGATAAGACTCCTTTGACACTCCAGCTTTGCGGGTTTAGTCAAGGGTTGGACATTGGTACTTTAATAGGGAGACACCCAACCAATGGTTTTTGATGTGTTTTTTCTTTTTTTGTCTAGTTTCCTCCTTCTAGGGGGTCGTTGCCTGGGAGGTCGCCCTATTTATATAAATGTGACACCCATTCACCCATATATCTGACATATCCAAAACCTTGCGCTGCGTTTTTGACGGAGGATCATTTGAGTATATGGTTGAAATTGGACATCAATAGTTCCGGCTTGTGGGGAGCAGGTGCTAGCAGCAGAATGACTGTGATCTGCTGGACATGTTATTTTTTGGCAAGACAAAGACACCCAAGCAATCAAATCATATACAGATATACTGTAGATACAGCGCAAAGATCGTTAATACAGTTTGTTCCTCTCCATTTTGGGCAGTCAGACAGTCTAGTTTTGCCTTCCTGTGACAGAGGAGCTTCCTGACCTTTTGTCAACCAGCCTGGAAGTTGCCAGAAGGGGCAAAGTTGTACAGGATGCCACACCTGGCTCAGAAAAGCGGAAAACGTGGACCGACCACTGCAGGTGGACCACTACAGGACCCTGGCATGTAAAGCCCTACCTTCACGGGAGCGGCCTTTCAACCAAAGACCACAGGTTTCCACAGGTTTACAGGTTCATCATGAAGCTTCTGGATGTATTTACCACTGGATTTGACGGTCTTTCTTCACTTGTTCACCCGGACCGAGGTATTATCTTCGAACGAAGGCAGCAGCAGATGCCATCAAGTTCACCGTAGAGGCGACTTCTGCTGCGTGACCGGCAGCCCACCTGAAATCGTTGCATATGTAACTGCACGAGATTTGATTATTTTTCCAACTGACGGATTCGCAAAAGCCAATGTTGTAAACCAAGTGTGAAGACTCACCAGCTCTTTCGGCGCATCCAGTCCTTTCACCAGCTCTATCGAATGATATCAGCTCGTGGGTCGGCTACTACTCGGCCTCTCTCTCTCTCTCTGTCTCTCTCTCTGGCCTTTGGGGTCAACTACAGTTCTTGTCACCAGCAAATGGGGTCGCCAGGTGCAGTGATGATCCGAAAAAAAATAAAAAATTAGCCCAGCTGGAGACCCTAATAGCAAGATACAAACCGGGACAAAAAAAGAAAAATCTGGAAACAGCTGCTGTTTTCAACACATCGACCATCTCTTCCTTGGACACCATCATCACATAACCGGGACACCATCACAAAATGACCAGGGCACCATCAAAACATGACCGAGACACCGTCACAACATGATTGGGACACCATCACAACATAACCGGGACACCATCACAAGGTGACCGGGACACCAGCATGACATGACGGGGACACCATCACAACATGACCGGGACACTGTCACTATCACATGACCGGGACACCGTCACATGACCCGGACACCATCAAAACATAACCGGCACACCCCAAAAACATGACCAGGACACCATCACAACAGGACCGGGACACCATCAAAACATGACCGGGACACCGTCACAACACGACCGGGGCACCATCAAAACACGACCGGGACACCATCACAACATGACCGGGACACCATCAAAACATGACCGGGACACCATCAAAACAGGACCGGGACACCATCACAACATGACTGGGACACAATCAAAACATGACCGGGACACCATCACAACATGACGCGCCACCATCACATGATCGGGACACCATCAAAACATGACCGGGACACCGTCACAACACGACCGGGACACCATCAAAACATGACCGGGACACCATCACAACATGAC